CAATAAAGTCTCGAGGATCGAATCTTTTGGCGTTTTTCAACCAAACATGACTTGTGGTGACCATGTACAAGTTAAAGCATCTATTCTCCCACACAAGTCTGGTACCAATTAAACGACCTCGGAGGGTTGGAAGGCTTGCTTGGCCCAAGCGGATATCGATCCGGGATTCGAACCCGTTGGCCACAGTACCCCTTCCGCCCTAAGTATACGATGTACAAATAAAAAATAAAAAGGATTATGAACTACACCTTATATCTTTCCCAGCTAAATTACTCAAATTACGATAGCTCCGGTATATGTACATGTTTGCGGCATCTGTATGTCATGATTAGAAAATTATCTTCAAATTGCATTTCGGAATAAGCCATTAATAAGCTTAAAGAAACCTGCAGTCAGCATGGAAACCATTAGCTGATTATGTTTACTGGCTTCCTTCAGCAGCCTGTGCTCCGGATAGCTAGCGATAAGGGTATAACGGCTGCTGACATTTCGTTGTGTGTATTCGAGCGAGTCGGACAAGATGTCAAAAGGAACAAAGGCTCACTGGGCGGAGCTCACTACGGGGAAATTTTCCGAAATAGCCTCCAGGTTGCCAGCCCGGGTTTCCGGTCCCCTTTTTTCGACATTTTTAATACCAGATTATCTATCTCTACCTCTGAACTTCTGCCATAAAATTTATGGTTTCAACGAAAACACTAGCTATGATGTACCAGTTTCAAGTCGTGCTTCTGATAGGGCCTTCTTTAATAGAAGCCGGCTTCTTCCTGCAAATTTTCGAGGATTCCGGACTAGAAGTCACCTGTCCATCTGGTAGGTCTCGCTGTCTGAATCCTGTTTTCTTGCAGGACTTCTACCAATGCACACCTAAACCATATTCAGGAAATCTCGTCTACATTAATCCAATCTCGGGCGATCTACAGCAGTGTGAACAACAGCTAGGGACCTACAATGAATCCACATGCCCGAAAGGAACTGCATGTGAACGATTCCCAATACTTATTCCCGGTTTCCAGGTACTTTTATGTTGTAGGTTTGGTTCAGAAAATACTGATTTTTGTCGACTGAGAATTTATTGTTGGACTCGATAAAACCCACACAGAATGTGTTCATGGGCCATCACCACATCACACTGAGAATGGTGTTGGGAGATTTCCTTCTCATCGGAACTTTGATTCTGCCGAGGAAATAGAGCTAGGACCCTGGATTTGACCACTTCACTACTTTTTTGCCTTCTTTTCCATGCCCTAGCCATGTTTTTCCATTTCACTTTCCTTTTTTCATGAGTTAGATTCCAAATTCCAGGATTACTGCTGTCTGGCAAATGGAACCGAAACTGCAGCACTGGAGGTCGCTTGTGAGTTGATAAGCAAGTTACTGTGAGGGGAGAATGACTTGAGAGGGGATGGATAATTGCTTGACGTTGACCGCTCTTTCTGTTGGTGCTGGGTCGTCAGCAGTTCCTTTAAAGGCATATTTCACGATAATTTTGGGGTACCCGTTTTTAAGCGGAACTGTAGATTGGGAATAGTTAATCAGTAGAGAAGAAGACGAGGAGATTCGCCAATTTCGATAAAAATATGGCTTTTCAAAACTAGGGAAAATAGACGTTGGACAAGATTACCATGACGGAAATAAAATGGAAGAGGTATTCGGTTGAGATTGCACTCATTCCAACCGCTCAAAAAGCTGACTACGTCGAGCCAGAACTGAACAGAACTACTCTCACGTTGCTATTGGTCATGCTAGGTTGTTTGAACTTCCTCACGGGTTCCTTTGTGAACTGTGCAGCTTCTTCAATGCCGCTGAAACTCGTCCGAGGATATACACGAGACAATCTTTGGGCTTTTATAACATCCTAACTAGGCCGTTTTCCGAAATGATAGCGCCAGCTAGGTATAAGAGGGGGCCTCAAATACATCCTATGGGAAAATCCTAGAAACAAATTTTATCGTGAACTGTGCATTAAATGAACATGGTAATAAATAAATAACTCCAGTAATGAAATAAACAACTCGATCAAATGTCAGCGGGCGTATTCCAAGTGTAACATAGAGTTCTCCGAAACGACCCCATGCTAAAATATCGTAAATTTGAAAAATACCGGAGTACAAGAATATAATGGCGATTTCGTTCCCTTAGATTGCTCTACAGCGGTCACCATCAAAGCTCTTATTTTTGCCTCAAGCGCCCACAATTTTTGTTTACTGTTACACGAATATGCACACAGTTTCTCGAACAAGATGAGATACCATCAGCAAATTCGATTGAAATATCTGGGGTTATGAATGTTTTGACTTTTGACAGAAGCAGACGATAACAAACAACGTTTTTGGGTGCACAATTTGACTTGATATTGGCCCGCATTTTTCAATTTCAGTGCCTTCCACGAAGGAACCTCCATCGTTCAGTCGACGCGGAACACCTGATCGAGGTGTGGTGGAAGCAATTGTTGAGCGGCCAGAACCACAGGAATCTGGCGGTAATTGCAAATTGAAGAGACTGGTAGGAGATGGAAGAAGAAAAAGTGTAGATCTGTTTAGAGGACGAAAAAGATTTGGAAGAAACCACCACTGTCAAAGTACGATCACGCACAACCACCCCATTACCAGAGGATGAAGACAGTTAGTTTGCTTAAATATTCTGGGGCAAGATCAAACCTGTATTGGGATCCATAAGGATATCTGATTATCGCGGAAGATTGGAGCCATCATCAGCTATCCTCATGTTTACCGCACAGCCCCTCAACGCCACTTTGAAGTAGTTCGAATAGTAAGAAGTCTAAATTACTGAAGTGAAAATTTACGTGACCGTGCGGTCACCCTCACTTTCCGTGACATTGCCCGACTCGCCTATCTACACTTGTGGTACTGTCCTCCAGGAATATTGATGTGTATAAAAATATCTTCTCGTTTCACAGAGGAGTTGGAGTAGTGCTGAATGGTTAGGCTACCAGGAATACGGTTGGTCGCTCTATTCCGAAACTCTCCGAGTTTCCTTCCACACCAGAGTTGGCTGGTGTGTAACGGATTCGTTTGAGAATATGTCCTGCACGTAAACAGACCCTGTAAGTCAATGCAGAGTAACCTAAACGTCACCGCAGTTCTCAATGGAACTCGAGTGTCTGAGCGCAACTTGGAGCGGAAAGACTTCATCCTATTTTCTGTAGTCTTTTTCCTGAGTTGAGTAATGAACTTTACAGTTGAAATCCACCCAAATCGTCCGCTGTTCATTTTTTGAATCCGCCAAAGAGTTGCATTTGAGAAATAATTGTTTCAGCTTTTTGCTAATGCTCCTTTTTCACAGAATCATTGGTCTCAACCGCGATAGAACAACTTGATTAACTTTTCCTTTCTTAGCATGGTTTTCTTTACAACAGTGTGACGATGTGTTCAGGAAACATGCATTGCAGCGGTATATCGCAGATAGACAGCACTTATTCTTTTACCTTCTTCCTTACTTTCTTCCTTCATCCTCTTTTGCTGAGTATCCGAAGTTTAATCATGGCCTTCTGAAAAATCGACTTGACAGTGAGATCCACCTGAATCTTCGCCCAAAGGCGACTAGTCCTTTCATCTTACCGATTTCTGGGAATTGACTAGCGGGAGGAGACGAGGGGATTGTACGGCTCCTTTTTTTACAGCTCCTGCGACACGAGCTTGACCGAGAGCACTTCTTCGCATGAAAAACGAAGGTTTTTTTTTGTTTTGATTCGACGGAAGCTAGAATTGAAATCTGAGCAACTTCTGTTCCTCGAAATAGGCATTAACGGCTGTTTGTGGTCTCTGTCCGAGATCCCACTCTACAGATAAAAATCCTGTAGTAGTAATGTATTGACTGGCAAGGGTCGCACACTTCAACGGCTTTATGTAGGACGTTCCTTTTTTTCTTCGGAATTTTGGTGTTTGCATTACATAAATCCCACTGCAGCAGTGTTATCTGCCAAAGGTGTTCCTCGAGCCAACTTCAAGCGATCCAAGTCTGAGAAATACTTGAGAACTCCTCCTTTGACTCTTGTTTCAGGATAGATCTTTGATACTGTTTTTTGTTTTGCATAGGTTTCCGTGTGCGATAAACGTCAATTGGCAGAACCGTAATGAATCTGGAATTCCCCTGTTCCCCCAAGCTCAGATGTTTGCGATCTCAACTTTCTCTAATTTCATGTACCCATGAATAGAAAGCTATCATTGCCTTAAATTTTTTATAATTTTCAAAAAAGGTACATGCAGGCTCAGAATACGACCGAGAAGAAGTCACTAAGCGAACAAGAAGGCCGAAGAATAGGAAACCTACAACAACAACGGTCGCAACCACAACGACGACGACCAAATCGTGAGTACTCGAATAAATCGCAAAATTGAAATTTCGGAAGGATAAGGTTGAAATGTTGAGGTGACATAGNAAAAATTTGTTCATTCCAGGGCCAGTCATGGTTTACCACAATGCAATGATCCGAGCGACTCAGTCTTTATTGACTATGGGAACCGCATGCGAGACTGCTACTTCCAGGCGAGTATTCAACTGAGCCACTGGCTTTTTTAAGTAAACATTTTTAAGTACAAATAGAAATGTAAATAAACATAGTCATAAACTGGACAAATTTAGCGTTGCGAACGTGGCTATAAGTGCGAGTTCAACAAGCGAATAAGGAGATTCATTTGCTGTGGACAAGACCTTGGTTTAGTACCACCTCCAGGTATTCTGTGATTTTTCGAGGCCTTTATTTTTTACTAAGACCCTCACTGCCACGATAAGGTGCACCGCTTCACTCCTTGACTATCGAAAATCTTCCAAAATAGGTGAGAAGTCATTTCTCTATCGCTTGTTTGGTCTTAGGCTTTGATGGGAAAATGAAACGAATAAACCTGAATTATTTACTTGAAGCTCTCTTAATGTAGTTAGGGCTAGAACTCATTCGAATGTGTGATCCTCGACAGAAACTGCAAAAATAGTCAAAATTTTGATGAATCTTCTTCGAGTTCCGAGTGACGCCTGTGACGGTCCCTGATCTCTCTCATGCTTGGTATAGTGCATGTAGGATCAGTCCAGTAACGCAAAAATGCCCAGACATGAAACTTCGTACAGATCTCCCAATAAAACTTGGTATCTTGTTCGTCTAGAAAACGAAGGTTTTGAAGACAATCATCATCAGGCTTCACGTGACACCTTCAATCTGGTTATGGTACTTTTATGACTTTGATAGCATAACATTATTTCAGGATTGCCAATGCTCCCCGCTCCGAAGCCGCTGAATCCACGAAGAGGGCTAAGACCTAATCCACGTCCATACGCAATGCAAAGCGACGGTCTGGATGACGCACCCGGCAACTCCAAGCCCCGACATCTTACTAGATCCTCATGTTGCGATTACAATGACTGCTCGGAAGAACGAAATTGGGAAGACGGTTGCCGAAAACAAAACAGCAGATGCTCTAACATTCACGACCGTAGTTTTAGCAAGTGCCAAAATAGAAACCTGAAGGAAAAGTCAGACGAGCATCTACGGGAACAACCCAGGCAACGGCTGCGACCTGATTGGTCAGGGAGCGATTGCAACATGGAATCAAATGGCTGTTTTAACTCGCGTAGTAAGGGTATTGTGGAGCATGGAAATTCGGAACGACATGGATGGGGTGAGAGACCACCGGGACCACCTGAAACACCTAGAGCAGGATGCAATGAGAATTCCATGTATGAAGGTTGTGCAGGCTCACGAACTGGTATGACGCGTGGTTCTTCGTTCAAGAGGATCGAAAACGAGGAAGAGTTCGTCAGACCAGAGCGACCACCAGAGCCCTTTGACCAGCCAACTAACCGACGTCCAGCCATCAAGCAGAGTCTTCTGAATTCAGAGAGGGGCGACTTGATTCCTGTATCGAAGTTTTCTTCACGGCCGTTTGATGGCTTTCGGAAAGCTACCTCCCCACCTATTCCCCAAAAAATGAATCGCCTCTCAGCTGTAGAAAAGGAAAGACAATCTTTGACAGTGGATCTACAACACCCAACTTCTCTTTTATCTCAAGATCGCAATCCGTTCATGTACACAAAAGTTTTGCCTGGTTCTCGTGAAACCAACTCACCGCCTGCATCAATCCGCTACAGAAAACAAGGTAAGTTTTTAAAGATTTTCAGAAAATTCAAGATAGTAACCCTAGCTGAACGCTTCTATACTTTACCCTGTGTGTTAACTAAGCAGAGCATTTTGACCCACACCATTTCCTCGACTCATGAACAGT